GTTTGAATTTTTTTTTTTTTTTCTGGGATGCTTGTTTTCTTGCGAAAAATACAGTTCTCCAGATTGTATGCCAAAACCGCTGCAGCGGCCCCTGGTGAGGTGTTTAGCTGGTTTTGTGGAGGCGGGAAGGAAGTGGATAGGTGGAGCTTCTGTTCCAAAAATTTCCCCCAAAGTGCGGTTGACAGCGTACAGACGGGTGGGGTGCGTGGGGCCGCCGTCACCAACCGGGAGACGCTTCGGCGGGGCCAGGGATGTAGTATAAACGTTAATGGATGTCCAGGGTGCGCGTTTCGCCGGCCGCGGGCCGGAGGTACTGGGGAAGCGCCGGCAGGAGCTCCAGGCGAGGATGCACCTTCTCCTGCTTGGAAAGGTAGAATTAGGGAAGGCGGGAGGGTGAAGGTGGCCCGGAAAAGATCACCTCACTACCAAGGGGGAAAAGAAAGAAAAGAAAAAAAAAGAGAAGAAATGCAAATACAGGGGGGAAAGTGTTATTTCAGGAGCCACCAAGTCAGGGATCACATAAGTCTGGAAGTCGGTGTCATTTTTACTGAATTTTTAAAAGAAAGTTGTCTGTCTCTCATTTCCAGAGTATTTTTATGGAAGGAGAAGGCTGAAACAAAACTCAAAGAAGGAATAATTTTGAAAGTGCCTTTGACTACTGGATCTGAAAGTTAATTCTTTTGATGAAGTACTTTAAGATTTTGGATAATGTTATTTGTAAAACAGGTCTACTACATATGATATCCCTCGTTAATTATAAACCAACCATGTTTTACTTTATGGTGAAAAATTTAAAGTTTATCACAATTTAAATTATTCCCCAAATCAGTTTATCTCCAGATTAGTAAAGTTGGCATATAAGCATATAGGTGTTTTGTGGGGGAGGGGGAATTTTATCTGTTACTCTTGTTGCAATGTAGTTGACAATTTGAACCAGAATTTTAGCCCAGCCTTTAGTCTAACAGTTCCTATTCAAACCACCCCATCTATTTTGTAGTTCCTAATTCCCCCAATACTTCCTAGCCCAATTAACCAACCCCTTAAAGTAAGCCCAACCCAACAAAGTTGCTGACACCACCATATGCCAACCTGCTCGTGCCCTTGGCAAGGAAATTTTGAGCTAAAATTGCCCCCAAATAGACTGGCTAGCCTCAGTGAATTCATCATTCCTGGAAGTGTGAGTCAAGCACTAGTCTGTGACCCCTCGATTAGGGACATTGTAGAAAATATTTGACTATCAAATGAATGTTTAGATTTGTGATTTTTAAAGTCTATTCCAGACCCTTGAGATACTATATTTCCAACATTTGAGTTTCTGGATTTCTATTAAATTAAGCAATTTTCCTTCCTCATGACCATTTTCTAGAGTTGAATTGTCCAATATGGTAGCCAGAAACCATATGTGGCTGTTGAGCACTTGAATGTAGTTAGTCCAAACTGAGCATTGCTGAAAGTGTGAAATATACACCAGGTTTCCAGAATTAGTATGAAAAATATGTTAAATATCTCAATAATTTTTTTTTAAAATATTGATTTCAGAGAGGAAGGGAGAGGGAGAGAGAGGTAGAAACATCAATAGTGAGAAGGAATCATTGATCAGCTGCTGCCTACACGCCCCCACCCTGAGGATCAAGCCTGAAACCCAGGCATGTGCCCAGACCAGGAATCGAACCTTGACCTCCTAGTTCATAGGTGGACACTCAACCATTGAGCCACACCAGCCGGGTAATAATTTTTATATTGATTATATGTTAAAATGGTCAAACTTTTGAATTATTAGGTTAAATAAAAATATTAAATTTAATTTCATCTTTGTTTTCACTATTTTTTAGGGTGGATACTAGACAATTTTAATTTACAGATGTGACTAGCATTATATTGTTGAACATTGCTGTTCTAGACCAACACCCATGGTAACATGAAGCCCCCATCTTTGAGTATGGTGGCTGGTAATACTGAGTAGGTGGTAACTTCCAGCTGCCATCCTAACTTCCGAAGTTAAATCAAGGCCCAAACTCAGCCATTGGAACCTTTAAGAAGAATGTTACCAACATCTAACACCTACCATTTAATCTTTAACACAGTATTGGGTTTGAGCCCAAACCATGGAAATATGGTACAGATCTGTCTAATTAAGTCAGATTTGATCACAGCTTTCCACATTTTGTAAAGAGAGAGACTGGGAAGTCCAATATGTTAGGAATGACTCTGGAAAAAATGTAGACCCCAAACAAAACTTCCACAAGTAACTTTTCACTACCACTGTTCAGCAGACAGGACAGCGGTAAGAGAAGACGTGAACAAATGAAAAGGTGAGTCATATTTTTGGATAGGAATACTCAACATGATAAAGATGGCAGTAAATTAATACCTTTTTAATTAAATTTATACCTTTACACTAAATTCTGGTAAGATCTAGTCATCCTATTTTGTTCCATTGTTCTATCAGTTTCAACAGTCAGAGCCAAATTATTTTAATTACTATAAATTTAGAATATGTTTTAATTTCTGGTAGCACTAATCCTCCACACCCCAACTAGACCCTTTTCAGAAATTTCCTGGCTTCTTTTGCTGGCCTTGCTTCCCAATATGAATTTAAAATGAATTTAGCCACATATATACTGTAATCCCTATTGGCATCTACACTAATAAAAGAGAAAGATACATATTGGCCATACTTTCCCCACGCCCACCAGCCATTCAGGAGTGAGTATGCAAATTAACCCAACAAAGATGGTGGGTTAGTTTGCATAAGCAGGCTACAAGCAGCCAGGGCGCGAGAAAACGGGCATTCCGCACAGCCCCAGCTGCTCGGGGCCTCCGGGCAGTGTGAGAAGGCGGAAAGGCGGCTCCTGGCTGGAGTGAAAGCGGTGCCAGCAGCCAGGGGGAAGGAAGGCCCATTCTTGCACGAATCTTTGTGCATTGGGCCTCTAGCTAAAAAATAAAGTGAGATTTTTATCTCACGCTGTATACCAACATAAATTTCTAAAGAATTTAAGTGAAGTGTAAAAAAATTAAAATTAAGCCCTAGCCGGTTTTGTCCATCAGCCTATGGACAAAAGGTCCCAAGTACGATTCTGGTCAAGGGCGTGTACTTTGGTTGCAGGCTCCTCCCAGGCCGGGGCCCTGGTCAGGGCTTGTGCAGGCGGCAGCCAATTGATGTGTTTCTCTCACATCGAGGTTTCTCTCTGTCTTTCCCTCTCACTTCCACTCTCCCTAAAAATCAATGGAAAAAATATCCTCGGGTGAGGATTAACAACAATAACAAAAGAATTTAAAATTAAAGAAAACGAAGCCATGGACATACCAGAAGAAACCTCAGAGGATTAAAAAATATATAATCTCAGAGTGGGGAAGGTGTAAGTATGACACAAAGCATAAAATTCATAAAATGCAATGTTGATAATTCGATGACATAAAAATAAAAATGTTTTTCATGACAAAACCTGCCATAGAGTGAAAAAAGTGAGATGGGGGTTGTGTGAGTATACTTAGTGCCACTGAGCTGTATAGTTAAAAATATTTAAAGTGGTAAATTTTATTTTGTTATGTGTAACTAACTACAGTAGTAAGTAAGTAAATAAATAAAACCGCTAAAATGTTTTAAAGGTCACCCATGTTCTAGCTAAGTGAATTTTGCATAGCGTTCTGGTCCCATCCTCTGGGAGACAGACACTGGTGCAGTGGTTTGATTTCAGGCTCTGGAAGAGTCTGCTTGGGTTTGAGTCCCAGTTACCTGACGCACTGCCTGTGAAACTTGTTGCCAGTTACTCCACCTTCTAAAGTTTCTGTTTCTGTGGCTATGTAATGAGCTGTTTACAGTTCTTCCATAGGGTTATTAAACTATTCAGTAAGATGATGTATGTGCAGTACTTAGCATAATACCTGGCATACATATACTACATAGCCATTATATGTTCATAAACAATATAATTAATAGATGTCCAGTTCTTATTTTGGATTCTCAAGTAACCACAAGCAGCACTCTATTAACCTTGTAAATATGTTTTCTCATTTTTAAACACTGCTCTTATTACCCTTAAAAAGAACAAAGATTTTTTTTGGTGGCATTTAATGAACAGAATTAATGTATTGCAAAAAATGGTCAAAATGGTACATTTTATGTCATATTTCACCACAATATTTTGAAAAGCTTAAAAAGAAAAAGGTATTTGTTGAGTTTAGGGTCATCTCTAATTATCTTAGAGAGAACCTGGTATGGATTTGTTTGTGGTCCTAATCAGTAACACACCCATACACAGACAATGGAAAATGTTTGCAATCCATACATCAAAAGGCCAATTTCCCTAATAGTGTCTATAAATACATGAGAAAACGCAAACAAACCAATAGAAAAATAAGCAAAGGCTATGAACACGGTTTTCAGAAAAGGAAATACAAAAGGCTTCTAAATTGTGAAAACACTTATAGTTTGAGACTGTTGGGACATAAATTATATAGAGAATGCATAAATTTAAGTAAAGAGTTGCAATTAGTGCCACTCAGATGCAAAGGTGGCGTTTATCCTTCCTTGGTAGTTTAACTTTTGCTTCCCTCCCTTTGATCCAAGGCTGAGTTTTCCCCAGCTTCGTTGACCAGAGAAGCAAGGGGTGTGCGTGTGTGGAAGCCACGACTACCTTTCAAGTTCAGGGTAAAATCTCATTCAAACCGTGTAATCTTTGGCTTACCGGCATCACCTTACTTTGCCCTTAGAAATCCCCCGCATCAGCCTCTTAAAGCAAGTACAGTGACCTTTCTCGACACATCTTGTCCATTCCTGTGTTTAATGCCTGTATATTAGCCAATAATCAGAGTCTCTGAAATCATCGCTTGATTCTGGTTTTTCCTTCAAGTTCTGTATTCTCTTAAAACTTCAAGCAGAATTTATTATATGATTAATATGAAACGTCAGAGTATATGATGGAGTACATGGTGTTAGGTTAGAACCACACATACATAATGCCTTTTAGGCACTGTGGTTTTACACTTGGATTCAGTAGTTCCTTTCTACAAATTTACTTTTGGGAAACGGTCAGATATGTGACGAAAGATGTATTTACCAGCATGATCATTGTGAAGTTACATATTGGACTTTAAAAAGAAACAAAATAAATAGCCGAACAACATCCCTTTAGATATAGGATTAAAGGATTGATTATGTGGTTGCAACCATTAAAACATCCAGGTAGCTTTATTTATATTAATATAAAAGTTGTCCATAATATTAAACCAGATATAGAACAATATTTATGGTATGACCCCATTTTTTGTAAAAAAAATAAAAAAATTTAAAATTCACATGTGTATGCTTCGATTCCTGAGAGTAGAATTATGAAGAGACTTTCATTTTCTTTATTTACATATTGGTTGTATATTTTAATAATGGATTTTAACAGGGAAAAGCCATAAAGATATTTCAAATTTAAAAATAATTACCCTTAAAATTCTTGAACGGAGACCAAGTTTCTCTTCGTAGTCTCTCTTCTCAGATATTAGCACAGAACAAGGCATTTCCATAATTAATTTTCCTTCCTAAACTGAATTTTTCTGTCTATTTAGTTTCAGATATCATTAAAGCCCTACATGAATTAGGAGGAGTGTTGTGTGTTTGGGTATATGGTTTTGCTTCCAGGGCACATAAATTAAGGGCATAAATATCATCCCATTAACTCAGGGCTATCTTAACAAGCCATGGAAAATTGAGCCTATTCCATCTTTTTGCCACATGGGATCCTGGTGGTAACATTATCCCAAACCTCACATTCCTTGATCTTTGGCATTTGGCACACCAGGATTCTGCCTGGAATTCAACGGCTCAACTCCCTGCCCGAAGTTTAGTTACTTAGGGCATAGTGCTGGGGGGATCGTTTTAAATTTCAAGTTAGCAGGCGGGTCTGGAGCTGTCACTCTCCGTGGGCCGGGCCTGGGCGAACTGTAGAATCTCAGAACACGGAGGATGGGAGATCACTGCATCCACTTTCATTTTGCAAATGAGAAAATTCTAATCCTTGATTTCCTGTAAAGTGAGGAAGTTAGGCAAGGTGGTTTATAGGCTCCTTTTGGCTTCCAACCCTGCGATTTGTTTCCTAGTCAAGATCACGCAGTCCATCCCTATGGATCAGGTTTTTTTCCAGGGGAAGCTAGATTACTGGTTTTTGGCCGCAAATTGCATACTCACAGGAGTCAGGGGAAGATGACAGTACAATAGTGTAGGCTGAAGAGTGAACTTTTATGATCTTCCTGGAAAAAAAAAGCATGTGAAAGTATAACTTCATGGTTGCTTAGTGGGACTAAACACAGCTTTATTGTTGCATGAAGACTCATGGAGTCCCTGCTACGGGCCAGGCTCGCTGTCTTCAACATGACAGACAGGAGCCCTACCCCGTGGAGCTCCCGGGTGTTGGAGGAGATGGACAGGGAATCAGCCATTTAGTGGGATTTACGTGAGTGTTCTGACGGATCAGTGCCATGAAGGGACCTCAGAGCCTCTGCTCTCTGCTCCTGCAAAGGTGTCCAGCGGAGGGCGCCAGCACGGGCGGGAATCCAAGCTCTCCCCAGGCCAGCCATGTTTGTCCAAAAGAAACAAGTCTTTAAAAATCCACCCCCCACGCAGTGCCTTCTGCGGTTTTCTGAAAGTCCCCTGTGTTGTAGTGGTTGCTCCGTCGTGGATGCTATAAGGGTTTGGATCAGGGGGCCTCACCTAGTGAGGGGGGCTCTCAAGTCCCTTCTAAGGCAATGACCTTGGAGCTGAGACATGGAGGCTGAGCAGGAGTTAAGCAGTTGGAGGCAGGAGGGGAAGAAGAGTGATCCAAGCAAAGCACCATCCAAGGCCCCACGTCAGGGAAGGACTTGGGGGAAGTGAAAGAAGGTGCTTATGGCTGGGATGCCGTGAACCAAGGGCAGCAGGCATGGGTGCTGTGAATGGAGTGCTGGGAAAGTCCGGATGGCGATGGGTTCTTTAAGCCACGTTAGGAATTTCGGACTTGACTTCAAGAGCAGTGGGAAGCCACCCGATGACTGAAGGGAGTGACTCGAGCTGCTTCCGTTAAACTTGCTTGTTTCCTCATTGCGTCTTATTCTAGCCAAAACCCTTAGAACTGCTTTGGGATCGTTCCCATAGGATGCGGGAAAGAAAGTGCAGGCTGGCACCTTTATTCTTCACGCACATACACAATATAAAAATGTTTTAAAGCTCTGGGCACATGGTTTTTCAATAAGTGAGGGGGACGTGAAGTCCTGGGACCTTCAGAACAGATACTGATCACAAGTGATATATCTCAGGTTTTGAAGGAGGGCCCACGCAGGCACCATGGCGGGTGTCGGTCTGCTGAACTGGAAGGCGGAACAAGCCCTTCTCACCCCTTCCGCTCCACCCTGCCCTTGTTTAGCTTGCAGTCTGTTTTCATTGCCATAATGAGCCCATTGCTTGTCATTTAGAAGCTCGCCCATGTTTAGTCCCTTGCCAATACAATTGGTGTGCATTTTCTAAGCATGTGAACAGCTTAGGGGTGAATACGGAATCGTTTTCCTCAAAAATAGCTCAGCATTTTAATCTTCATTTCACTGAGCATCTGGATTCAGTGTTTACTAAGACTTTGGCCAAAGGATTAATTATTTACTTAGTTTCGGAAAGAGACGTCAGAAAGAGAGAGAGTAAAAATGAACCCACAGGGACTTTTTTTAAAAAAAGTTATTATTTAATTATTTTAAAATATATATCTTTATTGAGTTCAGAGAGGAAGGGCGAGGGGGAGAGAGAGAGAAACACCAGGGATGGAGCCCACAACTCAGGCATGTGCCCTGACGGAATCAAACCATGACCTCCTGGTTCATAGGTCAACACTGAACCATTGAGCCATGCTGGCTGGGCTTGTGTTTTTTAAATTGAAGATTAGTAAAAGAGAGACCTCTGCTGGCTACACTGGTATAATGCCCTAGAGTTGGTCTGTCACCCACTGAGAAGCCCCCTTTGAAGCTTTTACAGGTAGGTGTTAGAACACCCATGGCTCGCTGTTTCTTCATTTCCTCATCTATCAGCTCAGGTTCTTTGAAGCTAATCCAAGTGACCTGTGATTCCAAGCTCCAATCATAGTTGTTTCTGTCTTTAGGAAAAGTCTTAGTTTTTTATATTTCTAAAAAATTATAGCGTTATTTTTAAAAAAAATATTTTTGATTTCAGAGAGGAAGGAAGAGGGAGAGAGAGATAGAAACATTAATGAGGAGAGAGAATCATTGACAGGCTGCCTCCTGCACACCCCCTCACTGGGGATAGAGCCTGGAACCCTGGCCCTGACAGGGAATCGAACTGTGACCTCCTGGTTTATAAGTCGACACTCAACCCCTTGAGCCATGCCTGCTGGGCTAAAAAATTATAGCCCCGAGACAAACCCAGACCTGAAATAACTCCTGAATTTTATCTTCTCTGTTTCCTTTCTTCTGCTCTTAACCTCCCTTCCTCCCCTCTACCAGTAAAACAAATAAAATAAATCTTCACTTAAAAGAGAGTACTGCTAAAACTGGTACATCTATACAATGGAATACTACGCTGCTGTAAAAAGGAAGGTACTCCTAACATTTGCAACAGCATGAATGGACCTGGAGAGCATTATGCTAAGCGAAATAAGCCAGTCAGAGAAAGATAAATATCACTTGATCTTACTCATTTGTGGAATATAATGAACAACATAAATTGATGAACAGAAACAGATCCAGAGACAGAGAAACATTGATTAGACTGTCAAGCCACAGAGGGAAGGCAGGGGCGGGTGGGGGTAAGAGGGAGAGATCAACCAAAGGACTTATATGCATGCATATAAGCCTAACCAATGGACACAGACAACAGGAGGGTGAGGGCATGAGTCGGGAGGGGGGCTATGAGGGGATAAGGACACATGTAATACCTTAACCAATAAAAAAATAAAAAGAGAGAGAGAATACTGCTGATGGAAGGTGAGAAGGGGGGAACTTACCTGCTTATCTCTAACATACCCTCAGCTGAATACCCAGGCTTGGGCCCAGGGTTGGGGTTAGATACCTGAGGAGAGCTGTGAATCCCATTAATGTCTTCTGATGGATGTGTTCAGCCATGGGGATGAGGAGGCACCGCGTGAAGGAGACTGGGTGAATGGGAGACACAACAAGTGAGACTGTGAAGGTGGCTATGTAGTGGGAGAAAGGGAAGGTCTCCCTGAGACCTTTCATTTGTTAGCAATGATGGTGGTGAGGGCCTCTATGGGCCAGGCTGTGGGCCAAGCACTTTACGTACCTTTATTCTGTTTCTTGCTTTTCCTCTCACTTCATAATCTTAAGAACATCTTTCTCTGGAAAGTATTTAATATGTGTAAAAATAATAGTTATGTGTATACTCACTATTTTATTATGTTTTTACTCTGGAATATGCTGCAACTCCTACTCGTGAGAAGGGGCCTTCCCCAGGCTCCCCAGAGTAAGTCCTAAATGTGCTTCTACAATAACACCTCCTGCACTCTGTGGCGGAGCAGGCGAGAGGCCGCTTTGGTTTGGCAGGTTGTTTCCACACAGTGGCTCCCACGTCCTGTCTTCCCGCGTCTCACGCCTCTTACACCTTAAATATCTATTCTCCTCCTCTCAACAGCCTCTTCTGGACAGGCCAACGCATGAGGAATTAGTATCCAGGGATGATCATTTTAATGCTGTTAAGGGACCACCGACCTCTCCTTTAAGGAAGAGGAGGCCCAGGGAGGTCAGGTGCCCAAGGCTATCCATCTAGTGGGCAGCTCCCCGATTCTTGATGTAACACTTCCTGTATGACATCCACGCTGTCCTTGGTCTGCATTGTGCAATAGATGGTTTTCCTTATACTTTCTGCTCCTCTTCTCCAGTTGCCTGCCACTCCTTTTCTAAGCCTTCCACCCCAAACTGCGGCACGCAGGCAACCGGGGCCCATTAGGGCACCCCCAGAAGCTTCTCTGACCAGTCCAGGCAGCTTTTCCTCCCTCTCCTAAACTTACTGATTCTGTTTGGGCCTTGTTAGGGCACTAATAAATCGCTTGACTCACACATTTACCAAAAGTTACCCATAGACTTCTATCTTCTGAACTGCCTATTAATCTTGACATTTCTATACTGCTGATTGTGTTATTTTTTGTGTACACTTTTGTAGGGCGCGGCTAGAAGGTTAAGCCTCGGACGGACCTGTTGGCAAAGTCACAAACAAGTCCCAGCTTAGCGGGCACAGTCCTCAGCATAAT